GTACCTCCGTACCCGATAAACCTCCTTAAGCATGTTCTATATCTAGAATTGTTAGTTTTTGTTTTTAAGATATAGCAACATTTCTGAAAAAACTTAATTTTTATTATTTTATAGAATACCACAAATAAATATTAAATAATAAAATTAATTCAAAATGGAATGGAAATTATGAACTGACAAGTTGACACAATGTGACAGTTTTTTCCAAAGCCATTTCGTGCGACCGAAAATAATAAAAATTACGTTTTTCCAGAAATGTTGCTATATCTTAAAAACTAACAACTTTAGGTGTAGAATATACTTAATAAAAGTTGAAGTAGACTGATATGTGAATAACATAGAACAATAAAATACATTTGAAAAATTTTAGAAAATCAAGTTTGAACTTTCTTAAAATGATCGTATTATAAAAAATGTCCTGTATAAAATATCGATATTAGCTAATATAGGAGTCTTTGCCTAACATTTGTCTATAACACTGTCAAATATTTTTGTTCCAAGTGTTAGTAGTTGAAAATTAATACAGTTTCTTCGAGGTTATGTTTTTTCCAAAATTTGAAGAATTTTCTACATAACTAACCCCGCACTAAACTGTTAAACTGTTTATATTGCCAAATATAGAATTTTCTCAGAAATCCATATGTTTAAAAATATACAGGGTGTTCCATTTAAAAATGTAATATTTGGCGTGTCCCGTTTTTACTAATCGCCCTGTATGTTTCAAATTGATTTTGTCCTTTAGGTTTTTTGATTCTGTACAACTTTTATATAAACTCTTATTCCGTATTACGAATAACAAAGGAGTTATTTTACTTTCTCACACTAATAGCCCACCCTGTATAACTCGAAGGATGCTTAATAAAAAGGATTATCAAATAATACACTTAGAAGCGGTAAAAAATCGTTAGCTTTCCTTGCGCAAATATCGTGCAATATTGCTAAAAAAAAGTTGGACGGAGTTGCTGAAGAATAGCTTTTATATCAATTTATTCATTTTTAACCTTTTATGTTTGCTGTAGGGATTAAAATATCAGGCAAATGTCAGACTAAAGTCAAGACGGCGCATTTTTTTCAATCGATACTTTCACGAGTGACTACCACGCGAAGCTAGGGGGTGGAGAACTTTGTTGTATTATTTTAACCTTTGCTTTAGCCAGAATTTTCGTAAAATATAATTTATCATTATTTCGCGTTGATGTTTTTTATTTTCTGATTGTTATCTATACGCAAGGACACCGTGAATTTGTGTAATATCTAAATATAAATTATCGATCATTTTGGTGATATTTGCACCACTTGTAATTGTTATCTCTAATTACACATTAGCTGAAGAGTATTTGAAGTAATTGAGATGATTTGCTTACCACTCTGGTATTTAAATGTAATGGAGTAGAACGATTACGTAAAAATTTATTGTGATAAAAATGAAGAAGTAAATTAACTCATGTAAAAATTTTTTTCTCACAGGCTTTGTTGTACCTAATCACCCTTTTGGACCCCATCGTCAAAGGCGACTACGTTATAGCGTACTTCCACACCCTGACGTCGAGTAATAACTATCCATCGTTCTCGTGGCTGAAGGAGGTTTACAACGTGCTGCCTTATAAGTACAAGAAGAACCTTAAGGCTTTCTACATAGTCCACCCTACGTTTTGGACAAAGGTAAGGAAAGGAAAATAGCAATTTATGAATTATTATATCTCGTGAAAAAATTGTACTAAATATTCTATTTGTCTATGAAAAACCTGAAAAAATTCTGTTGGTCTATTTTGCTCCACCAAAATTAATTTTAATTTTATTTAATTGTTTTAGTACGCGATCTTGGCCATTTATTTTGGTCTTGTACATTTGACCTTTGGTCTGTTATCTTTGACTTCACTTTTAGTCTTTGGCCTCTGAAAAAAATGTATGTGTTAGAAGCTACATTAACACAATTTGTTTAATTATAATGCACTAATAATTATAATTAATTATAATTCCACTAATGCAAAAAATTAAAGGGTCAAAAGAATATCCGAAATTTTTCCGTTATTTTCGACATTTAGGTGAAAAGTGGTCGTATCGGGAATTAAAAAAAAAGCATTTTGAAGCTCTAAGACTAGTTTTTAAATCTTTTGATCGATATTTTTTAGAAGTTACGGTTATCATGCAATTCTAATAGATTGACAAAAAAAAATTGTCCACGGACTTGGAATTTTTTTTCAGCTAAGCCATTGCATGGACCAGATAGCTTGTTTATTCAGCTGAAATAAATTTCCTATAAGATGCTGTCACAACTTTTTCACCTTTTACACGAATTTATAAAAACAGGAAAAAAAGGTAATTTATGGTTTTTTAGAAAATTGACGGCTAAATTTGAAATATTCACGAAATTACTAATGTTAAGCATGACTTTTACAGTTCGATATACTCAGAAGAACCCTGTGAAGTTTCATCTCGATCTAGCGAACCGTTTCTGTTTCAAACAGTCAAACTTTTGAAAAAAATCATGATTAAAATGTTTTTTTTAATTTTCTCACATTTTTACGGCAAATAACGTTTAAATTGATGAAAAAAAAGTTTTTCTTTGTTTTATTTTGGAAAACCTTCCGGACATTGAAAAGACAAAGTCCAATTCCAGCACGATTCGGCTTTTTAGTCCTATGCTTCTGTTCATCAACTTTTAATTAAATTAAAGTTGAAGTTGATGACCCAAATCAGATTTCGACCCCGATTCATACCGTTTTTTGAGACAAATTTCTAATTAATTTTTGTGCAATCTGTAATCACTTAAAAAACTGTTTTTTTTCAAAACTACCCTTTTTTTTCTCTGAAATAAAATTTCTTTTTTTTTCACCAATTTAATCGTTATTTGCGGCAAAAACCAAAAAAAAATATTTTTCCATTTTAATCATGATTATGAAGTGATTAAGCTCAAAAAAACGTGACCCTTTAATTTTTTTTGAAAAGTTTGACTGTTTGAAACAAAGAAACGGTTCGCTAAATCGAGATGAAACTTCACAGGGTTCTTCTGGGTAATCAAACTGTAAAAGTCATGCTTTATTAGTCATTTCGTGAATATTTCTAATTTAGCCGTCAATTTTCTAAAAAACCATAAATTATCTTTTTTTTTCTTGTTTTTCAAAATTCGGGTAAAAGATGAAAAAGAATTTTTTTTCCGAAAAGTTGCGGCAGTATTCCAGTTTTCGAAACTGCCCTTCAATTCTCTGTACGACCATTTGTCCCCGAGATATCGATGCTTGAAGACAAAAGGATCCTTTTCCATTAAAAGTCCGATATTTCGATGAAAAATGGTCGTATCGAAAATTAAAAAAAAAAAGGAAATTGAACCTGAATAAACAAGCTATCTGGTCCATGCAATGGCTTAGCTGAAAAATTTTTTCCAAGTCCGTGGACTCTGAAAAAAAAGAAAATTTGCAAAATTTTTTTGTCGCGCTATTAGAATTGCATGATAACCGTAGTTTCTAAAAAATTTCGATTAAAAGATCTAAAAACTAGAGTCTTAGAGCTTCAAAATACTTTTTTTTAAATTCCCGATACGACCATTTTTCACCTAAATACAGTCTGTCAAAAATCACGTAAAAATTTCGGAAATTCTTTTGACCCTTTAATTTTTTGCATTAGTTTAGTTGTTTTGATCCATTTTAATGTTTAGTGAAGTTGTTTTGATATATTTTGGCATAATTTATATTGTATATATTTTTTGAAATATTCTAAAGGTGATTTGATGAATTTTGGGCTAAGTTGTCCTGTTGCATTATGCATTATTATTATTCTGAAATTATATGGGTACTTTAACGCACCTTTGAGGAATTTTCTAAAGTTGTTAGTTACTTTGTAGCATCATGAAGCTGGTTAAGATGCAGGGTTACAACTCTCAATTGTCCAATACAGATATCTTTCTTATTTTAAGAGATACAGAAATGGTTAAATGAGCAAAACTGTGCAGAATTTTATATCGATCATGGATTCGTTTTTAAATTTAGAAAATTCCTAATAGTTCTGAAGATATTCGAAGGAAACCGATGTTATGATGTTCTCTTTTTAGTCATATTTCACTTGTTTTTCAAAATTTTGGGACAAAAATGTTTCTGCTTTCAGTGTTAACGTATCCCTAAAAATGTATATGAATTTTCCTTTTGTTCTAATGAGGCAAAAATTCTGTTTGGCGTCCATAAAAAAAAAACTACCACTTAGCACACATTTTTAGAGATATGTTAATATTGACAGCCAATGTCGATTCCTCACATCGTTTAATAGCAGACTACACATTTTTGTCCTAAAATTTTGAAAAACAAGTGAAATATGACTAAAAAAAGAAATTGCATCAAATTCTTGATCCACACAAAATTCTGCACATTGTTGCTCATTTTACCATTTCTGTTTCTCTTAAAATAAGAAAGATACTTGTATTGGACAATTAAAAAGTTGTAATTTCAAAGCGTTTCAAAGAATTTTGAGTATTTCAAAGTTTTCATGATACCTTTAGAGGTTTTCTAAGTATTATGAGATATTTTGAAGTAGTCAAGGTATGTATTTTGGAGTCAACTATGTACTTTTATTTTTTCTGTGATTACCAGCTCCGCTATACAGGGTGTCCCGAAATTCATGCAACAAAATTTGTCAAAGATTCTTAAGGCAAATTTAGGGGACCCTTATTTTTTATTTTTGCCAAGTGGCTCCCTCTTTCGGAGTTACAGCCCCCTGAAGTCTGCCCATTTTTTTTTATATCTCAGAACTCTGTTGTACGAGAATCACTAAATTTGGTACACAGGGGTTTTATGACATGTGGAATCTGATGGTGCTACGTTTTTTGGCGGGGAACCCCCTTAAGACAATTTTTCGTGGGCCCCCTTGTCTTTGGAGCCAAAAAAATTTGGTACAATATTTAAATTTCTTAAAAATTGTCAGTCCACTAGAAAGCCACTAAATTCAGAAACTTTTTGTCTCTTTATACTTTTTCGTAAAACGCAATGTTTTCAAGAAAAATGTCAAAATGTGATCGAATTATCGTGATTCACCATTTTCCTCAAAAACATTGCGTTTTACGAAACAAATATCAAGAGACAAAAATGTTTCTAAATTCAATGGCTTTCTAGCTAACTAATAATTTTTTAAAAAATCAAATTTGCAACTAAATTTTTCTGGTTCCAAATACATGGGGGCCCACGAAAAAGTGTCTTAAGAGGGTTTCTCGCCAAAAAGTGTAGCAGTGTAAGATTCCATATGTCCCTGTGTACCAAATTTAGTGATTCTCGTACAACGTTTTGAGATATAAAAAAGACTTCTTATGGGCAGATTTCAGGGGAATGTAACTCCAAAAGAGGGGGCCAGTTGGCAAAAATAAAAAATATGGGTCCCCTAAATTTGTCTTAAGAATCTATGACCAAATTTTGTTGCATGAATTTCGGGACACCCTGTATATAACGTAAAGAAAAACCAGATCATCGGGGTTTTCGGCAGGTCTTAATTTTTCACCGTCTTTATTTTGTTTGCTTCTGGATATTTTCAAATTTTTTGGAAAACAGATTCACTTTCTGTTCATTTTGTAAAGAAAAATGAAATAACACATCCAGCTTTATTACATCTTAACTGCGTACTAAACTTACTTAACTAAAAAAAAATTATCTTTATTAATATTCTTAATTTTTTAAAAGATGATGACGTGGTGGTTCACTACCTTCATGGCACCAGCTATAAAGCAAAAGGTCCACAGTTTACCCGGTGTGGAGTACCTGTACTCCGTTATGTCACCGGATCAACTAGAAATACCCGCTTTTATCACGGAATATGACATGACCGTAAGTTTTTTTTTTATTAAACAGTTATACCCTTCTCCACCAAGATTTACAGCCTCCTGTATCCATGATGCACTATATGTCACTTTTACGTTCATCACACGTTAATAATTTCTTTGCTCAAGTAGAACATTGCACACGTTAAAAGAAATCGTAAATTAGTCTCGCTTTAATGTTTATGGCTGCTTTCGCTATAAAACTTTGTTTATGGGATTAAATGGTGGATTTTATATAGCGTTTGTTGTAATATTCCTTGCGTCATATCGCACTTACTTATTTTATGGCATAAGTAAGGCAGTAATCGGCGTATAAATTCGAGCAAATAATTGTAGGTCATTCTTCTAACAATAGTGTCCCTTCCCATTATTTTTTTTGTAATTATTTCTCAAAATATTTGCGTTTAATGTTTAATATGTGTATTTGTGACGCAGTTTGTGGAACTTTTCTCAATGGAACCATTATTTTAACAACTGTAAAGATTAATACATAATCCATTATTTGATTCCGATAGACATAACCATCTATAATATAAGGCCTCACACCTGACGCGTCAACGTCTAGTGACGTCACCGCCAGTGGTGCAAATGGCTGAAGTTGGAACACGCATTGTTGTTAGTTTAATTTAATAGTTTCGGCAAGCATTATGCAAAACACAAGTTTAATAGCCATTACTTGAGGGTCTGTCTGTAGTAAAAATTCTTGAAATAAAATGGGGGTTGTGGTCACGTTTATTTAAAAACCATCTGCAAAAATTTAATCGAGGGACGAAATCAACAGACTGACAATTGTTGATGTTGTAGATGATATGGATACAATAATAAAGTAAAGAATTACAGATTAAGTGACTTAAAAATCTTCAACATTCTTGGTGATTTTTGTTTTAAACTTGTCAGAAATGTCAACAAATTGCTATTTATTCTATTTATTTCTAACTCGAAAAGATTTATTAAATGTCTTAAGCTTTCTTACTTGTGTATTTGTCAGTAACAAACTCGAAATGTGCTACAGCCGAGAGACTGCAAATGCCAGATCAAATCAGAAGTGGGATCACATCCTCTTCAAAAGTGGTTACCAAATTTTTAATATGTAATAATATCGCTTTGTTGTACTGCTTTATCGAGTACCTCATCTATCACCATTAAAGTAACGTCACACTCCAATTCTGAGGCTTTATAATCGTCTCTGCGGTAGTGACTGATTATATTTTTATGTTTGTCTATTTAATTGATTATATTCTATTTATTTTTAGTTGCTTACAAACCACTGCGACTGTTTTCTTAACGATTTTTTTTCTTCAGATAAACGGCCTGAGGTACTTCCAGCCGGGGGCGCCAACATAAGACCGCACGTCTTCTGTGGGGTGCCCTTCCAAACGGACTTAGTATTAATTATATCCCCAAGTGATAAGTTGCAATATATTTTTGACTAGTGCTAAGTTGTGTGTGCCAATTGAATATATATATGTTAGAACAATCGCTGACCGCAAAGCCTTTGTTTATTTTTACATGGAATAACAAGAGCCTCTATTAAAAAAAAAAATGTTATATTAAGGTATACCTAACGAACCTAGTTCGTTGCTTCGTAATGCGTAAGGTAACGTTAAGTTTGACGATTTGAGGGGAGCCTGAGATCGACGTCGTGCGCGTTCTATACAGGGTGGCGATCGAACAAATCACTTTGTACCGTGTTTCATTTTTGACCGGTAAAGTGCGCGTAATAAATTTCCTAGTGTTATCGATTTTTTATAGATTTTGAAAGTTGCTTTTTTTTTTCGTCTATTTCGAAATTGTTTTCAACTAAACCAATTCGTTTCTGCATTGACGACGGCTGGGGAATTGATTATCCACTTTACTTTCCAATTTTTTACTCCACTTTGACCAAGAGATATTCGAGATATCTCGCTTTTTATTGACGAAGTATCCAATCTCTCTTAGCTATTAAAAAAAACTTCAACTAGACGTGAGAGAGTCGTCTCTACCACACGCCCTGTATATAATTTTTATTAATTTTACCCAACCTAGTCGTAAGCATTTTCTACAATTTTAATTAATGTAATTGATACATTCCCTTTCGAGTGCTATTGATAGTCACCTTTTTGCATAATAATTATATTATTACACAGCAAAACGGTTCGTTCGTGGGTCGGCCCGAGTGGGAGTGGTTTCGTAAGTTCCACGAACGGATCGGTTTCGATCTATTGATATTAACAGTTTTTATAGGGGATGAAGGGGGATCCGTTTCACATTTGAGGATCGTTAAACTTACGAGTGCCTAAAACTCTAAATCAGAGAACGGGAGCGAAGCGTTTTATAAATTTACATTTTTCTTGGCATTTGTTGGAGATATGAAACCTAGATGGCGACACTTCCAAAAAGTCCCTGTTACCCTTGTTGCTGGTACAAATAAGAGCGAAGTGAGTTTTTAAGTGTCGCCATCTAGTATCCATATTATAAAGTTTGATTGGTGGCATACGTAACTATTATATTTTTAGCTGCGTTTGACGAAACTTAGACGTTTTAGGCAATTTTTGTTTTACGATCGCGTAACCTTATTACATGCGCACAAAGACTATTACTGTTCCTAACGATCCTCACGTGTGAAACGGATCGTGCCATAACTTTGTCTTTGTTAGTATTTTAATAAAAAAAATATGTTACTAATAACTTTAACTACTTAAGTACTAAAATATTTAGTAGGTTGTTGTATGTATTTGATTTTATACAAGTTGTATATTATTCTAATGTTATTTAAATAAAAATGTAAAAATAAGTTGATAATCACAAGATAAATTGTTATTGCAAATAAAATGAATCACGATCGTTTCGAGTTTTATTTACCACCGCAGCAGGCAATTCCATTATATTTACAATATTTATACAAGTGAAACGGTGATATGTCACGGTTTGCTAAGTATCAGTAGTTCAAACGTACCGTGGAGTGAATTTGAGAAGAATCGACTTAATTTACAATTCGCTAATAATTAGTAGTTCAAACGTACTGTGGAAGAATTTGAGAAGAAGAAGAATCAGCACATTCGTTCCAAATGAAGCTGATGTTAATTTTCAACAAAAGTGTCACAGTTCATTAAATATTACTAGTTTGAAAGTACACTGGATGAATTTGAAAAAACTTTGAGCATGTTCATCAATAGATGGCACCACTTACATCTCATCTATATTAGCTGACTGTAATTTTATTACACTAACGGTTTCTAATTTGTTTCTTCAGTAGCTCTTTTGTCATAGGGGGGTAGGGTAAGCATCAACAATTCACATTTCGCTAAAAATTAGTAGTTCAAAAGTACTGTGGATGAATTTGAGAAAAAGCAGCATGATCGTTCTAAATAAAACCGTGTTATTAATTTTCAACAAGGTGTTCAACAGTTCATTAATTTTTAGTAGTTCGAATGTACACTGGATGATTTGAAAAAATTCTGATCATTTAAATTTTTCCTAAGTACTAAAATGAAATTTTTAACTTCATCTTTCAACTTTTTACAAAATCTTACTGTATTATTTTTTTACTCATCAATAGATCGCGCCACTTACATCTCATCTATATTAGTTAACCTCAATTTTATTACACTAACGGCTTCCGATTTGTCTCTTCAGTAACTCTTTTGTCAAAGGAGGGGTAGGGTTGTCTATTTCGTTAAAATATTACATAGAAATTATTTCACTTCTGATCTGATACTATAACAAAACCAAACACACTAAAAATATAGTCAATTATTTGTCAGTCATGTCATGATTCTTGTGAGACCTAAAAAGAATTGGACACTATTTAATCCAGTTGGGTAGCTAACGCGAGCGGTAGATCCCAGCCCTTACCCCACCTTTGTGGGTACCTTACTTGTCTAGACTTACCGTCAAACCAATGTAGGCAAGATGGTTGAAAAATTGTGGTGGTGCCATCTATCGGTAAAAATTTGTACTAACCTTTCCAATATAAAAATTTTATAAAATGAATATAAATAACCCTTTTTTTACATACATTTAGCCAAATTGCCGAAGTTATTTTTCGATTGTGTACCGTGTCAGAATACATGTAAGAATCTGGCGCGAACTTTTCAAGTAATTTTTTTTGCTTTTGCTTTTTATTTATTTTACGTTGGGCCTATTTCTGCTACAACGGCTAAACAGACTCCAGGAGACGAGCAACTTTCAACCTGGAACTTTTGCCGAATTTGCTTTGTCGTGGAGCAGGAATCTTTTACTTCTTAATTTAATTCTAATTTTCTTTTTCTAATCTTACTTTTCGTGAATCATCATAAACACTATTTACTACGTATCTTTAGTTGATGGGTATAGAAATCGGTGAGTAAAAAAAAACGAGCCTTAGTAAAATTTGTTTTATTAACTCAAATAAGTTAGGTGACAACTTTCTCAAATAACAATAACAGATTCCTGTTATAATAATACTACACATAGATAATCTGTGTATATACAATCCTTCGATTTAAATTATTGGCAGGGGAATCCTCAAATGTAAATATACATAGACTACAAAAAAACATTGATAAAACTACCTATACGTCAGATAACAATTGAATATTATAAAGGTTTCAAAATTTGACTATATTTATAATATATTAATTTATTAAATAACACAAGTGCAATCAAAACAAGGGGCTCGGAGGTTATCCACATCTATACAAGCTTATACGGTAGAGTGAGACGCGACGGGGCGACGCGCTCCTTCCAACGCTAACAAGATTATTTTCCTTAAGTCTACTTGTGTATTTGTCAGTAACAAACTCGGAATGCGCTACGGCCGAGAGACACAGGACCACAAACGAGCAGATCGAATCAGAAGTGGGATAAAACAGAGCGCAGAATAATTAAACCAAGAAAATCATTAACATCGCTAAAATAGGATTTAAACAAAAAAATTTATCGAGTACATGAAAAAAAATTTACAAAAACCTTATAACCTTCGTGTTATTCAAAACGAGAAGCATCGAATGAGTATTATCGATAAAATCTCAACCAAACGGCATCCCTACACGGTCGTGTCCTCGTCGGCGGTAACACACCCCAAGATAACAAATGAATAAATTATTAATGAGCTGGTTTTCGCAAGCACGCAGGTAATAGGCACTGCACGAGTCAACAACGAGGCGGCGGTCTCCAGCAGAGACCAGCCGCCATCCTTCAGTGCAGCCTTTGGGGCCTCGAGGGCAGCGTCCACACCAGGGGGGCCAAAGGTCACAGTTTCTCCTTGGCCGGCACCCAGATGTTGGGGCCAGACTGCTCATTGATCACCTCCTTCACCTGGCCGTAGATGTCCTCCGGCGTGTCTCCTTGTACAACGGCTGGAAATAAAAAATACAGCGTTAAAACAATTATTTTCAATACTTCAACAATATTACGGAGAAAAAATTTTGCTGCTCTAATTCGACACTCTTAAAGTAATTCCTGAAATATACCGGGTGTCCCATTTTAAAAAATACACGTGAATATCTCTAAGTTAAAGGCTTAATGAAAAAATGTTTCAAATAAAAGTTGTAGGGTTTTGAGGGGGACATCTAATGGTGACCTTGACCATCACCTTCAAGGTCATTTGAAGGTCATTTTAGTTTTGTTGCAAAATTCTACTTTTGAAACCAGAAATGAGAAGAGTGGGCCATTTTACGTCCGTCTTATGACAATGACCTTGACCTTCACGGTCATTCCAAGGTCAAGTTAATTTTTCAAATAGAAACCGGTATCTTTCAGTCCAAAATAGAAAGTGCAGAGAATTTTGCTTCCGGATATAACCTTGATCATGATCTTCAGTTTCAAAAGTCATTTGAAGGTCATTCTAGTATTTTGCAGGCAAAACTTTAATCTTGTTCATTATTTCTTTTTAATATGTGAGGCTCACCATAATTTTACAGAATACCCATTAACCCTTTGCGCCATGCATTTTTTTTCAAATGTTTTTGAACTCAGACTAACTTAGAATTTAGTTAAAGTTTAGCTAATTAAATCCGATACGGCGGATCCAATATGTCGAATACTCGGCGCGACCTTGAGTTTTTAACGTAGGTTGAAGCATTTTCAAAGTGTTAATCCATGTGAATATTAAAAATGTTTACCGAAAATTGGTCGGCCATATTGGATTCGAATATTTTCAAATTCTGANAAATAGAAACCGGTATCTTTCAGTCCAAAATAGAAAGTGCAGAGAATTTTGCTTCCGGATATAACCTTGATCATGATCTTCAGTTTCAAAAGTCAGTTGAAGGTCATTCTAGTATTTTGCAGGCAAAACTTTAATCTTGTTCATTCTTTCTTTTTAATATGTGAGGCTCACCATAATTTTACAGAATACCCATTAACCCTTTGCGCCATGCATTTTTTGTCAAATGTTTTTGAACTCAAACTTAGAATTTAGTTAAAGTTTAGCTAGTTAAATCCGATACGGCGGATCCAATATGTCGAATACTCGGCGCGACCTTGAGTTTTTAACGTAGGTTGAAGCATTTTCAAAGTGTTAATCCATGTGAATATTAAAAATGTTTACCGAAAATTGGTCGGCCATATTGGATTCGAATATTTTCAAATTCTGACTTCATATTCGCGATCAGCGCCCTCAAAAACCCCCGAGTACACTATTTGGCAAGACAGAAATGAATTTTGCAACAAAAAACTAAAATGACCTTCAAATGCCCTTGAAGGTCATGGTCAAGGTCACCATTAGATGTCCCCCTCAAAACCCTACAACTTTTATTTGAAAAATTTTTTTCATTAAGCCCTTAACTTAAGAGATATTCACATGTATTTTTTAAAATGGGACACCCAGTATATACTTTTTCTAAATTGAGAGCAAATAGATATCACTTCTCTCCAAATTTTTTCTCACAGTAAGAAAAGTGTTTGTTCCAGAAGCTATCCGAGGTCAGATTCGAATTTCCCCCACCCCATTTTCAAAATTTTGTATCCTCAAAGTAATTACTTAATTTTTTCATAAATTATGAATAAAAACAACTCTTACCTGTAAAGTATTCTCCGAACTCCTGTTCCATCTTCAAAGCTCTTTCATATGTTTTCTTTGCTTGTTCCTCCGTCATCCTCTTATTCATCTCCCTGAAAAAAAAAAAATGTTCGTTACCTTTACCCTTTTTCCGACGTTGCGTACTTACATTATAGATTCTACAGATTTTGGCTTTATAAAGATAGCAATAGGATACAATTGCGCTACCTGCAATCGTTTTATTGCGTTCCCACTAACGTCTAATATACAATGTTTACCCTGAAAAAAAGAGAGATCAGTAAAATTGGTACAACGAAACACGAAAAAATAATATTTTACCTTATCGGCTACTTCCCTTACAGAAGCCACAGACGTGCCGTATAAGTTATCATTATATTGACCCGCCTCGATAAATAAGTGGTTCTGGATGTCTTTTTCCATTTGCTCCCGTGAGGACACGAAGTGGTAGTCCCTACCGTCTACTTCGTATTCCCTTTTTGGTCTTGTGGTGTCTACAAACACAGACAATTCATTTGGTAACAATTAACAATTGGAATTGTATAGAGTATAGAAGTAACAAACTTTCGGGACTAATTCTCGCCAGAGACAAAAAAAAACAAGAGAAACGTTTTTTCTTAAAAATTTTCATAAAACCTCTACAATCCTTCAAAGACTGGAATTCAAACACAGTTTTTGGTTAATTACCAATGATTTTGAATATACTAGATACTAAGATGCAACAAACGCTCTATAGAAAGATAAGTTGATGGTATTTAACTCTTCTACTATTCATTTCTACCTTTGTCTCAGTTGCCGCTTATGTATTGGCATTTTATACATATCGTCACCTCAGAATTATACTGTTGTATGTGCACTGAACCTAGTTTTGAGAAAATCGAAAAACAAAATTTTGGTTATTACAACTCCGGCAGTGCTAAAGATACATTTTTGATACAATTAAATTAGCTAGATTTTAGTACAAGTTACTAAGAATCATGTACAAAACTTTGGAAAAAAGGAGCTTGTATTTTATTTTCGGGAATGGATTCATTAAAAGATAAACGTGATGGGAGTTGCATTTTATTGCTGGTTCTTGCAGCATCAGATCTTGTAGGTCGGATATCACGAATACAAACTTTTTTCCAATTTTCTAGTGCATGATTAATTTTATATTCTACTTCAAATTGAGATTGCGTGAATTTTAAGGCAACGACCTGGCTAAAAGGAACGGATTTATAATTATATAAAGAAGCACATGCTTTATAATCTTTAAAATCATCTTCCTTTAATTGGATAATTTTATACGGTTTTTTAGCATTCACTTTTAATAGAATTCGTAACAGAGATAAGGGTGAATAATACTCTGTTTTGTTTAATACCCTTTCAATACAACTATGTACAGAATCGATTTCTTGGTTACATGAGTGACCAGGAGTAGAAAATTTCATGGTTACAGAAGTTATATTTAAAATAACAATGTAGTTGTATGTGACACATACAATTTTGTTACCGATAGATAATAAAATTCTTGAGGTTAACAGAGTTAAGTACCACATACCACTATGCAACCGTAAAAATGTTGTATTGGATGCATACAATTTTGTAATTCTGGTTGCCTGCATCAAAACTATTAAGATGCAACTTTGTGCCTCCACAGAAAAAAAGTTTAACCAACATACAGCTTTGTAGCGCTAATAACTAAAAAATGACAAAAATGCGACATACAACAGTATAACTCTGAGGTGACGATATATCAGCAGTAAAATTAGAAAGGGTCAGCTCTCTCTCATTTTAATAATAGCAAATTAGTGAATAATATCTTTGTTTATACAGGCTGTGGCGTCTTTAATGCAGAAAATTAAAAACCTAGACTCTTGACAATAAATGAAGTAAAATAATATATGCTACCATAAGGTGATTATGAGATTTGAGTATCAAAAATATTTTCCAAAAAATTACAAGAAGTGACAAAATGTTAATGCCGGTCCTGTTTAACATAGCGCAAAAAACATTGATCTAGTCCATACTCCGTACGGCACCTGTGGAGTGTCAGTCAGTGTCAGTGTCAGTACGCAGGTGAATTGCTGCTAAGTTGTGTCAAAAAGATCGCACTTCTACTGTTTAGACGTTAAGTGTTTATTAAAGACGTTTCTTATTTTTTAAGTTATTGTTTTAACTAAATCGGCAATGGATAACGAGGACAACAATAATACGTTTACTACTATCGAACTATAGTGGTAAGTTTGCATCTTTTTTGTTTGTCGTGATCCAACCTATCACTTGCTAAAATAATAGTAGTCTTTTCTGTAACACCATGTACTTTGTTTCTACAAACCTCTTGTCTGGGATTGCACATTATCATTTACAGTGAAATAACTGATTGAATTTTATGTTTTATTGTTCCTTTCAATTAAAACGAGAGGATTGTATTAAACTGGCCAAAATTATTTATTGTTGCATTCAAACATTTTATCTCTTTTGTGTGTATTTCATACATTTTAATTTGGCAACACTGATTTGCGCAAAGGCTCGACTCTCTGTTAAGTTCGGTTCGGCAAGCGTGCGCTGATATTAATTGAATGGCATGACATTTTTTGACCAGGACGGTACTATTACGATTTATTTCTTAGCTACAAAATTGAAGTTCAATTTTCTTGACAAAACGTGGATATATGAATTTCTCATATAAGGCTTTTTTATTGCATATATTCCCAGGAATTTGCATTTTATTTTTTCTGCACTAAAGACGCCACACCCTGTATATAATTAGACAAATCTAACTTAGGGAAAAGAAATACTATATCGTGATTCTTCTATAAAATTCCTGTCACTCTTCACAGTATACATAAAAATGATAGGGATTTTATAGAAAAATCGCCTCTGTTGAAGTCAAGAACCATGAAATAGATATAAACCCCAAATCCAAAATAATACTCATTAATTACAATTCTCACTACTCCTAAATCCGATATTTTTGAGCATTCTCTGCATGGAAATTGTAATGTACTATTCATAGTGTTCCAATTATGTCTGAGCGCACACTCTTGGATCATTCATTTGTTACCAGTGTCTATTTCTATCTTTGCTTATTGTGTATAAAAGGATAGAAGCTTCCTAGTTTCATTTCTCAATTTGATAGTTTCCACCTTAGGCGTTTCCTTTCGTGTCATAGGCGTGCAAGGGGAAAAACATGCTATTCCAGTGTACTTAAAATTGGAATTGTGTGTAAGTCTTAATTGCCAATATGTTAATAATCGGGGTAGTTAGAGAATTTAACAACTCCCTCTGGGAAAGGATGGCAATTAATAATTACACATATCGGAAATTAAAGCAGATTGTTTAATGATATACATTTGTTTGAGTTGCATCGAACGGGAGATTACCCTGAGGTTAAGGGCAGTAAAGTATTTGAAAGATGGTTTGCATCTACTTTACGTTACATCTTGATACAGTGATTGTCATGAATAACTGCTATCGTTTAGATTGAAAAAAGGAAGAATCATAGTATGGTGGAATGGAAAACATAATGAATATACATTGTTTAAAAGTGCAATTATTAGCAATTGCAAACAAATGAAAAACCAAAGACAGAATATGTAGTGGATGAAAGGGCTAAACAAGTGTAATATCATGAAGTGTTACACTTCTTTGATTACCACCGTACATACCATTGTGAGCTGTACATAATAGAACATAAAACAGAAGATGTAAGAACAATTTTTTTGATAATGATGGTAAATAAAAGAAAAAAGTGTACCTACCTATGTGTTGGGTATTTGGATATGTCAAGGTGAGTGTACATTTTTAAGAAATTCTAATTTTCTAGTTTTTACCAAAACCAAAATATCTATTTGTTTTTCTATATTTAATAACACAGGCTGTTAAGATTTTAACCCAACAACATGAATATACTTTCCCAAAGGATTTTGGTGTGCTAAGTTCAAATTCGAGGTCTAAATTTCTCAATTGGCTCTAGTTTTTGAGATATCCTAACCTAAAAGTGCCAAAATCGAGATTTTTGACATATTTGAGGTTATGTTACAAGAAAAGGTAAATTTTTCTGCTGAAACCATTAATGGGATTAATCCATTAAATTTCAACATGCAATTTCTCAAAGACGAAATATGATATTGGGATAAATCCAATTGCGTTTTAAAGTGTAAGTATAGCACTCCAAGACGCCAATAATAGTTTCAGCAAAAAAATTACTTTAACATAAACATAACCACAAATATAAAAAAAAAATCGCGATTTTAACACTTTTAGGTTACGATATCTCGAAAACTAGAGCCAATTGAGAAATTGGGACTTCGGATTCGAATCCAAGCGCCAAAATCCTTCAAAACAGTACATTCTGATTTCTGGGTTAGAGAGTCCGCCAAAATTTGTCGGCATGTGAAATTTTTTGAATTCTCTAAAATGATATGCCCATGGAATCGCATGCGTTGAATGTCTGCATTGTTGACGCATACCATACCTGTCGAGAATGAGACTTTTCACCTTGAAGTTTAGAACGCTATAAAAGTTTTGTTCCATCATAAAAAGTTTAAATAAAACAGTGACTTCAGAATTAGAACGCTTCAGAAATATTTTAAGAAAAAATTTTAGTCTCATTTTTTTTTGTTTCGAGGAGAATGGACCTCGGAAATTAGTTACATAGTTACACCATATATTTATAGCAGTTCCAAATTATATGATTTTTAGGAGAAACAATCAAATACTTACGTGGCACGCAACTGCCGAACTTTTCCGGAAACTCCGAGATCAAATCGTCATTGATACGGTCTTTCAGCGGCCCTAATATGATAACTGGTCTAGTATAAGTAATATGCATCTGCTGGACTGGTTCGTAAGACAATACGCTCTCCTCGTTGCCTGCAAACAAAACGGTCAAGTGATTCTTTAAAATACCGGGATAGGTTATCGAACATAACTAAAAAAAAAATTTTACAAAAAATTAGTGATTAATTTTAGTCAAGATGTTCACTACTCTAAAAGCTAAAAGTCAAAGAAGTTACTACTAAAAAACTGTTCGACAAACATTCACAAGTAGACCGAAATCTCACCCTAAGAAGAAGCTAAAAAACATGTTAAAGTTCTAGAGATACTTTGTTTTGATTAGATAAAAAATTTCAAGGAACGAGAGACAGTATCGCAGGTAGAAAATAAACAAATCGCAAATTGGCAAATTAAACGGAATACCACAAAGTCCACCTACTTACGTACACGCAAAGTACGTCTAAAGTCTATTGTTAATGCAGAATTCACTAGTCTCCTATAGGAGCTATATGCACATTCGTCCTACGTGATACGTGGCGCGCCAAACAGGAAAGTGATCAAACGTGGATTTGCCAATAAACTATTTTTTATTTACAAATATTTTATTACGTTATATTACCGCCACTATACATTACCAAACTTTGCAGTCTTACTCAAATTTCATATTCAGCGCACCAATTACTTAACTAACTCTACATTAAATAATGTGACGATACCCTACGGTAATTTGAATTAAATATAGTTGCTAAGCTATATATACCAGCTAAGTATAAAAAATTTTCTGAAACGTTTATTTGCTATATGTACAGAACATATTTTTGTTTGTTTCATCTGTGTAAAAACGTGAACACACAAAATTTTAGGGATCCAGACTGCCTCAGTCAATCTAGCACTTATTTCTAGTTTTTCCAGATATACTTCAGAATGTGTCAATTGTATTTGAGGATACTTAATTTATTCCAGAAAATGTCGATAGTATTTCATGTACATAAACAGTTTTAATACAGAAAATGTAGTTTATATTTCAGATTAGTCATATATCTTTCAAAGTGTAATTTTATTTCAGAACTCAACTCAGAAATCACACTTGTATCTCAGAATAAATAGTCGGTTTTAATTCAGAAAATGTATACTGTATTTGAGATTAATCAGTTTTAATTTAGAGCAATCAGTTTTAATATAAAGTGTAAGTTCTATTTCAGAACAGTCAGTTCTAATTTAGAAAATACAAATTATATTTCAGATTAGTCAGTTTTAATTTAGAAAATGTAAGTAACATTTAAGAAGAGTCAGTTTTAATACAAAGTGTAAGTTCTATTTCAGAATAGTTAGTTATAATTTAGAAAATACAAATTGTATTTGATATGAGTCAGTTTTGATTCAGAAAGTCAGTTGTGTCAAAAACGTAAGTTCTAATTTACCCAACATCAGTAGTTTTTTCAAAATAATTTAATAATAATAATTTTTTTTAATTCAGAAAATACAAATTGTATTTCAGATTAGTCAGTTTTAATTTAGAATATGTAAGTAACATTTCAGAGCAGTCAGTTTTAATACAAAGTGTAAGTTCTATTTCAGTACAATCAGTTCTAAAATTGTATTTAAAAGCAGTCAGTTTTAGTACAAAATGTAAGTTCTATTTCAGAATAGTCAGTTTTAATTTAGAAAATACAAATTGTATTTGATATGTCAGTTTTATTTTATGAAATGTAAATTATATTACAGGTCAGTTTTAATTCCGGAAGTCAGTTGTGTGAAAAACATAAGTTCTGATTTACAAAATATCAATGGTTTTTCAAAATATTCAGTTCTGATTTAGAAAATACAAATTGTATCTCAGATTAGTCAGTTTTAATTTAGAAAATGTAACATTTCAGAGCAGTCAGTTTTAATACAAAGTGTAAGCTATTTCAGAACAGTCAGTTTTAATATAGAAAATACAAATTGTAATGATATTAGTCAGTTTTATTTTATGAAATGTAAATTATACAGGTCAGTTTTAAATCAGAAAGTCAATTGTGTCAAAAACGTAAGTTCTGATTTACAAAATATCAGTGGTTTTTCAAAATATCCAGGTTTAAAACATAAAATGGAAATTGTATTACAGATTAGTCAGTTTTATTTAATTCCAAGTGTAAGTTTTATTTTAGAACAGTCAGTTTTAATTTAGAAAATGTAAGTAACATTTCAGAGCAGTCAGTTTTAATACAAAGTGTAAGTCCTACTTCAGAATAGTCAGCTTAGAAAATACAAATTGTATTTGATTAGCCAGTTTTATAAAATGTAATTATATTACAGGTCAGTTTTAATTCAGAAAGTCAGTTGTGTCATAAAGGTCAATTCTAATGTACAAAATATTCATTTTTAATACAGAAACTGGAAATTGTATTTCAGATTAGTGAATTTTAATTCATAAATCATCCAGTAGCATTTCAGAAACAATAAGTTTGAATACAAAAACCATAAAGTGTATTTCAGATTAGTCAGTTTTAATTCAGAAATCATCAGTTGAATTTCAGAATAGTCAGTTTTAATTAAAAAATTGTATTGTTGTATTTCAATATTTGCTTTAATTTAGAAAATATTGCATTGCAAATTAGTCAAGTTTTAATTTAGTAATAATCAGTTGTATTTCAAAGATGTTTAATTTCAGAAAATTCAAAGTGAATTTCAGATTAGTTACTTTTAATTCAGAAATATTAGTAATATTTCAGACTATTCAATTTTCATTTAGACAATGTAAATGGTATTGAGATCAGTCAGTCTTTGTTCGAGAAATCAGTCAGTTTTATTCACAATGTGTCAGGTGTATTTCAAAATGGTCAGTTTTAATTCACAAACCATCAGTCATATTTAAGAACAATCAGTTTTAATTCGGAAAATGTATATAGTCTATCAAATTAATTAGTTTTATTTCAGAAAATTCTGAATAAGTACCTACATGTTTTCTAGAAAATAAAGTAGAAATCAAACTGCAATTTAATTAACATTTTTCCAAAATAGACCAATCTAATCTAAAAAATAAGTAATGCCTCCAGATATAAAATTTATAGAGATGGGCAGTGAAGAAACCGCTGAAAATAAATTAACCGTTACCGAAATAGGTCTGGAAAAGTGGTAGACCGACTGAGTCTGAAAACCTGGGATTGTTAGTGATTCATACACACAAATACCAACTTAAATTACGAAATTTTCACACAGGAAAAACATGTTTATACAAAAACACTTAAAGCTGACGGCACTTTTGTTCTAGGCAATATACAATTTCTAAAGTGAGTCACATTATTTAAGCTCGAACGCGGGATGATTGATTCTTTGAAGATGAGGTTGGTTAACGATGACTCTCATTAATATTATCGGGTATTAGTCAGCCGACTGAACTTGTATCAATACAAAAATCGCTTCCATTTTAATGTGAGTGATGCTAAGCAGCGAGTTTATCCAAATTCTTGTCAGCGGGCACGGTTTTAGTCGGTTTTAGTGAAGCAAATGACCGTAACCAACGTTTTAATGCACAGGGTGGTTCCTAAATCTACGCCATAACTTCAAGAGGCTGTTCGTTATATTGACATTTGGAAAAGAAGGATCTCATATACATCATTTACTCAAATCTCTGACGATCTTTGACTTACACAGTGTCAATTAGAAGCGAATTTTCAAAATATTCTGGGATATTGGGTGACATATTCAGTGAATTTTTGCTCAAATTTCATCAATTCGTGTAAAATACCTTCAGAGATATTTAAATTTTCTAGACGACTAAAATGACCGATGGAACAACCTCCTGCAACTACGAAACGGACTTGAAAACACCCTGTATAATATATTCGGTCACTCTCTGGATAAACTCTAATTAATGAATGAGGTTATGGCACTGAAAAAGAACGTGAACAATAAAATCATGATTTTTTTTTTGTAACAGGAGCAGTAACCAGTTTTGAATGCAATTAAAAAAAAATCAACGATTTGGCGGTGCCTGCCCCTGTTACGGCAATGATGATGTACTGAATGAATGGCTATCGAAAAAAAAACACGCTGGATTCAAATCAGTGCAGTATAAGGGTCGCGATCGCTTTGCCGCCATGCATCCACAACACTAACACTTACTAAAGTCGGCTAAATTGTCATTATCTTCCAAATAAATTAGAGTAATCTCTTCCATATACGGTAGCTCAACCCGATATAATATTTCACCTGTACTATGAAACACAGAAAGAAGCCAAAAAAGAAAAAAATTATGTAGTAAAACCAAAACGTCAATGCGGTATAAGATTAAGTATTTTAAGATATTAAATCGATACTGTACCTTCTGTGTTGGCATCCTCCTGCGTGTAGCACAGCATGAAGGCTGTAATACAAAAGGACCCAATTAAAAAAAAAAAAATTGAGGGAACGGTGCGGCACCACAATCCGGGGGCAAAGTCATCACATCTCACGCAATATTCAGAACCAAAAAAAAACCAATTCAGTTATTTTCCGCGCAAATTAAATTGCATTACATCGCACTGGAATACTCAACAGTAAACAAAACGGATATCTAGTGGTTAAAGAGATTAGTAGAGGCCAAGCCAAACGGTTAGTAAGTTAGTGACCGACTAAATCTACGACAACGAATTACACAGTGTCTAATTATAATGGGGGGAAAAAAGTGTGTTCGTTTTTATCTCAAGACTGTCAGTACTTACATTGAGGTGTTTTTTCTTTATCGTTAGCAGATAATTGGTGTTCGGAAGGAGTTTCTATGGGTAAAAAAATAAAAATAAGGTCAGAACTAAAAAAAAAATTGGTATGTTCCGTAATAATCCCGCGCTTAAAATAAATCAAGTATATTAACAGTAGTCGATGCAATTAGTAATAAAGAAGATTAGTGTTTAACAATGAACCAAAACCATAGAATTAATTTTAATAAAAAATCAGTAGTAATATTTCAAACCTCTAAAAGTGACTTTTTGGGACAAGAAACGTTTGGAAATATTTATGAATAGTATCTACACTTTTTCATGTATATCTCAGAAAGCGTCAATTCTATTTCAAATTAGTCAGTTTTAACACAGAAAGCGCAAATAGTACATCAGAATAGTCAGTTTTACATCAGAAAGCATAAATTGTATTTCAAAACAGTTTTAATTGAGAAAGTAATTTCAATTTCAGGTTAGTACAGTCAGTTTTAAATTAAGAAAATAACGATCAACAGTTGGGTGACACTTTTGGTGCAAGGCTTCAGTTATTTAAACTTTCTTTTCTGTGTGGCAAAAAAAATGTGAATTGTATATCAGAAAGAGTCGGTTACATTTAAGAAGCTTTCACTGTTTTGACAGTAGTTTTATTCCAAAAAAATGTATATTGCATATTAAGTCAGTTGTATTTTAGAACAGTCAGTTTTAATTAAAATATATCAGAAAACATCAACCATATTTCAGACTCGTTAGTTATACCTAAAAAGCTAACTTGTAATTTGGAATAGTTATTTTCACTTCAAAAAATATAAATTGTTGTTCAGTTAAGTCAGTTTCATTTCAGAAAGTGTCAAATATATTTCAAAATTATCAGATGTATATTACACAGTCAGTTTATTTCAGAGATAAATATTATTAATATTTCAGAGTAATTATTTTTACTTCAGAATATGCAAATTGTATTTCAGAAAGCACAAGTTATATTTAGGATAGTCAGTTTTAATTCAGAATTTGTAAGTTGTATATCACAAATGGTCACTTGTAATTCGGAAAATATAAATTGTATTACAGAAAGCATATATTGTATTTCGAAATAGATACTTTCAATTCAGAAACAGTAAATAGTCAGTTTTAATTCAGAAAGTGTAAATTGTATATCAGAACGGGTTAGTTGTAATTCGGAAAATATAAATTGTATTACAGAAGGCATATATTGTATTTCGAAATAGACCATTTTCAATTCAGAAACTGTAAATTGTATTTCAGAAAGCATAAATTTTACTTAGGATAGGCAGTTTTAATTCAGAAAGTCTAAGTTGTATATCAGAAAGGATCAGTTGTAATTCGGAAAACATAAATTGTATTACAGAAAACATAAGTTGTATTTCGCAATAGACACTTTTAATTCAGAAAATGGAAATTGTATTTCAGAAAGTATAATTTGTATTTAGGATAGTCAGTTTTAATTCAGAAAGTGTAAGTTGTATATCAAAAAGGGTCAGTTGTAATCGGAAAACATAAATTGTATTAAAAAGCATATATTGTATTTCGAAATAGACACTTTTAATTCGGAAAATGTAAATTGCAACCTCTATTTCAGAAAAATGTAAATTGTATTTTAGTTGTCACTTCAGAAAGCATTAATTGTATTTTAAAATCAGTTTTAATTTAGAAAATGTAAATTGTATATTAAAAAATGCCAATTGTATTTCAGAGTATTAATTATATTTCAGAATAGTCAACTGTATTTCAGAAAGCATAAATTGTATTTAGGATAGTCAGTTTTAATTCAGAAAGTATAAGTTGTATATTAGAAAGGGTCAGTTGTAATTTGGAAAACATAAATTGTATTACAGAAAGTATAAATTGTATTTCGAAATAGACTTTTAATTCAGAAAATGCAAATTGTATTTCAGAAAGCATAAATTGTATTTAAATAGTCAGTTTTAATTCAGAAAGTGTAAGTTGTATATCAGAAAGGGTCAGTTGTATGTAATTCGGAAAACATAAATTGTATTACAGAAAGCATATATTGTATTTCGAAATAGACGCTTTTAATTCAGAAAATGTTAATGTAACCTCTATTTCAGAAAAATGTAAATTGTATTTTAGTCGTCATTTGTATTTCAGAGAGCATCAATTGTATTTTAAAGTCAGTTTTAATTTAGAAATTGTAAATTGTATATAAGAAAGTGTTAGTTGTACTTCAGAAACTGCCAATTGTATTTCAGAGTATTAATTATATTTCAGAACAGTCAGCTGTATTTCAGAAAATGTTATTTATATTTCAGAAAAGGTGAATAATATTTTAGAATAGCCAATTTTAACACTGACTGTATTTCAGCTACATTAGTTGTATTTCAGAATTTGGTAAGTGTTTCAGGAGAAATTCAAGTGAGAGACTTTAAAAAGTACTAGCAAACACTAAAATTATTTTTAATTTTTCCATTATTATGATAAAGTAGTTATTAATAACTTTTTAACACTTTCTGAAAATCGCTTTGTTTTCTAACAAGTTAAAGTTTTCTGGAACTGAATTGACAAAAGCCGACACTTAATTAACATTTTCTAAAACAGCATAGCCTATTTTGAAATACAAATTGAAATGACACCATGCAATTAAATTGAGTGTTTCTTCTGATCTGGAAAAAGTGTAGTTTACTTGAAAATTTATCACGGAACATACCTCAATATGAAATTAATATTAATTAGAACCTAACGCGACAAATGTGTAGGAAACCAACAAAATTACTATAAAATTGGGTAGAAACTAGTACAAGGGATGGTGGAGATGTACCATAATAAAAAATAACAAATGAATACCACTTACGTTCTTGGTCTGAACCATCTTCAGACTTATCGTCTTTGCTTTTCATGAAGGGGAACTTCCTACTGAACGAAAAGTTTTTCTTTTTCCTATCTAAAGTCGATTGCTGAAAGGAAATCGTAATTTTTAGGAAAACGCTTCGGAAAAACCCTTTAGCTTCTACCTTTTCGAGTATGTTAGGCATGTGGCCTTGAAATTTAACAGATCTATCTCTGGCGCGCTGCTTCCTCTCCCAGCGCCTCTTGGATGGGACGATTCCCATACCCTGTTCATCTCCAGTATTAAGTACTCTCCGCGCTTGCCACCACTCGTCGTCGCTGGCATTCGTGACATGGAGGATGTCGCCGTAGTGGAAGGCCAAACCGCGGCTTGGAAGGCCATCGTCCTTCATCGGGTCATAATCGAACAAAGTCCTGGAAGAAAGTCGTCCATGAAGTACCACGCATTACAATGTACCTGAATTTCGGTAAATCAAGACCGAGTCATTTGAACTACTTTTTGTCTCTCTCTTCGGAAAATGAGGGTAACCTCCCGAAAATGTCGAAAATGATCAACCATGTATGCACGAAACTTACCTAACGTAGAGAGACCTCTTTTGTGATGTTCTGAGTAAGGTGCCCCCCGTGACAGGGTGGGCCATTTGTTGCTTAAGGTCATGGATTTTGGCTTCGAATCTATTGTATTCCTCTGGTCTGTACTGTACCACTACGTTGACAGTTTGGTTTGTGCCCTACAAACAAAGATAATTGTATTGTTTTCGAGACATTTAGACTTGGTTTTCCCTGTTGCAAGACATGTCAGTAAATTCAGTCACTAGCCGTCAGTTCAAGGTTAATCAAGTCATACGTAAACTAAAACCCAAACTGTTCACACTAGAGACAGAATTTCGCAAATAAAAAAAAATAAGCAATTTCTTTAAAATTTGTTTGATATATGATTATAGATAAATTTGTTATTATTACATGTTTATTTTGATAGGTGTTCATAAAGAGTTTAAGCTGACTCTAAACTTTCCACTTACTTTGAGGGCTTGTGCCGCTTCCTCGTGAGTGGCATTCCTCAAGTTCACCCCGTTCACGCTGAGGATTTGGTCCCCCCTCCTGAGTTCGCCGCACAAGTCCGCCGGTCCCCCAGCTAGGATAAAAGAGATGAAGATACCCTCTCCGTCTTCACCGCCAACTATGTTGAAGCCCAGACCGTTGGGACCTTTCTGGAGAACGATAGTGCGGACCTCCCTGTAAAGAAAATGGCAAGTTTAGTTTACAGTTTATGCTTGTGGTATAAGATAACGATAAGAGTGGGAAATCAGAGATCAAAGTGTAAAAATTCATCGAAACCACGAGGGAATTTTTCAAGAAAAACTCGACCAGCGTTGTCACTCTCGCTTGGTTTCTCATCATTAATTTTCTTTGAGAAAACTGAATAGAGAACATAATACACATCTTTGCAATTGGTTTTATGAGCTGTAGTGTTCAGTGATTTAAAACCATATTATTAAAATTGACAGGCATTATTGGGTTTTGGGCTCTATAGCAAATAGGCAACCAGCAATACATTTTAATAGATTTTATTACACAGTTTGTCTAAATATGAATAAATGCACAAATAACAGACTTTCCTCCATTCTAACGCAGATTTTCTATAAGATTGAGTTAGTTTGGAACTCAAATTACGTTTTGTTCTAAAGAAATTTGTAATTTACGATGCCAAATGCGGCAAATTACAAATTTCTTTACAACAAAAAGTAATTTGAGTTTCAAACCAAGTCCATGTTAGGAACTGTTTTTTTAAAAGAGAAAAACTAAATAAACAAATAGGTGAACAACTAGGCTTAGTTCTCAATAAATGATAGATTGTGTTTCATAGCCTTATTATTTATGTATATTCAGCTGACGGTGTGATTCTGGGTTCCTGCGTTAGAGACGAGAGTCTTATTTCAGCAGTGTAGTGGGTAATACGTGAATACGTTCTCAGCGATTACTTATTAAAATCCTATTAATTAAAGCACGTAATTAGGGCAGATCTGTCTCTATAAATCAGGTGTTGTTATTCTCACTAATAGTGAAAGGTGTCATTATTATTATTGTCACTAATGAATGAATGGTAAGGCCGAGGGGCATTAGCCGAGGGGGACCGTATCCAGGGGCTGAGCCGAGAGATACGAGGATGACAGAAGTGAGCGTATGTGTGTGTAATTTTGATTACAGGTGTTCCAGATGCATGCACAACCTACATCGGGGATGCTTATTCGAGTGACCACCAGATAGGACAGCGAAGGACGGGACGGGGCGGGGCGCCCCCGGTGAGTGTAAACCATAATTAGTTACGTATTCATACAGCAGTACTTGTTTGTTACATATCACGAGTGATTGCCAGGAACCCTGATCACATCTCATCTGCCCATTGTTGCCTCTTGACAGTCTGACTGCATGTTTACGTACTACACCCGTAAGGTAAAGCTCCACTTGAAAACATACACCTAACATCCATTTTATAGAAAATCTGTGTTAGAATGGAAGAAAGTATTTTATTTGTGCATTAATTCATATTTAGACAAACTGTGTAATAAAATCTATAAAAATGTATTGCTGGTTGCCTATTTGCTGTAAAACCCTCTAAAGTATAGATTATGATACTCAGGGCTGGTATTTCATTTTCCAAGGATCTAAAATCTAGATTTTGCTACAAAACATAACAAATTCTTCTTGCCAAGTAGACTCATTTTTTTAATCAAATCCTGTTTCCTTACATTATTTCTGTTCATTGAGCAGAACAACAAATCGACAACAAACTTGTGATTTATGCTTAAACTGTCATACCAACACTTTTAGCATTAGGTGTTTTAGTCTCTTTATCTTTGTTGGGTATTATTTCTTTCGCAGTGAAACAATTTTAGAGTTTTCCGTTGTCTAATGAAATATACTGTTTCCTGTAAAGTTTGTGTAAATGGTCTCTCCCTTTCTCTTAAATCCAGTCAACAGACTAATGTGGTTTTAAACTCATTTTGATGACTGTCAGCTAAAGTTAAAATTACAAAAAAAATATGAGATAAAAAAAGGACAAAACAGAGAAGTCGTCTTCTCTCAAAAGAAGTGTCAGTGTTGTTGCTATTGTTCAACTGTGTTCGAGATATTAATAGTTGAAAATCACTTTCCTTAAATTCGTGGCTCTCATATACAGGGTGGTCCCGAGGTAAACGTCCAAAATTCATGGGTAGATTCCCGAAACAAATATTGCGATTTAGCTTTAACTTACTGCAAATGTTTATAGTTAAAAGCGATACAGGTTTTTTTAGTTTTTAGATTTAAAATAATATTTTACATTTGACACCCTGTATCTTTTTGACTATCAACTTTTGAACTAAGGGAAGTTCTAAATCGTAATATTTTTGCTTTGGGAATCTACCCATGAATTTTGGCTAGTGATGTAAATGGTAAAATGACAAATTGTTACTTACATAAATGACTAAAATTATCGTATTACGTACCGCGAGATAACGGATGTAATTTTTGTAACTTACGTAAATTACGTAATTTACTGTAATGTTAATTTTAAATATCGCGCCAATTTCAATTTTGACATTTAAGGTTTTATAACCTTTTTTTATTTTAGCAATATTAGCATTCATTCCGAAGAGTATGGTGATAGTGAGGATGAGGACCAGGATTATACAAGCTCTAATAGCTGTTTTACATTAACAATATTAACGAAGTTCTTCATGAATTAATTCACGTAAACAGTGTGGTTTTACACTGCTACAGACTTTGTCAAGTTTATTGACGCATAAATCAGTTCTACCAACAAATCAAAGCAAATAAACTTCAAAAATGCCACCTTTCCACTCATAATTGTAATGACACAACAGCGGTACCGTTTTGACACATATTATATAAACATTAGTTTTTGTAAGTAACAAATCAGTAAAAACAATGCAAAACTAGTACGATGCCACACAATTATTTACATATTCCAATTTGGAATATATAAATAATTTCCAATAACATAACCTCATTACTGAACTGAGGCAGGAAATCTGTTGGGTTGGTACTTCTGAACTTCACGAAGAAATTGACCAAAAAATTAGAGCATGTTCTAATTCGTCAAGAACTTGATGAATAAATTCATGAAGTTATTTGACAGTAGACAAGAAATTCGACAAATGTCCAATGTCCTTGTCCAATTTCTTGATGAAGCGACTTCATGAATTAATTCATCAATAAATTGTCAATGTAAAACAGCTATAAGAATAAGGTATTACCTGAAAGAAATGAAGGATTTGAGGCAAAATGTAATGAAAAAAGGCGTGTTATAGTTATACAGAAATTTCACTTGAAAAGGTTTGTTTTTCGTTGTTGCATTTCTCGTTCATAATTTTGACTAAAATTTAGGTTGACCATGCAAAGACCGAACTGACAGAAATAGATAGAACGAAAGAGGTAATTAATTGTAATACATTCTACCAAAAAAGGTCTATGTCCCAGAAAAACAAATGCTTAAAGAAACGAAAGCTGTTTTAAATAGAAACCTAAATATTTGTATTTAGATCTGATTTACTTTATTTTACTCCTGCACTTATATGAATGTTACTTATATGAATAAAAATTTTAATTTTTTGCATAAAAATCGGCAAATATTATTTTTTAATCATTGAATTGCAGGACTAGTTTTATAGAAGCTGAGTACTGAGAAGCTAAACAAGCGGAGTACACTTTAAAATGTCGTAAAATTTAAATGTCATAAATTACAAGCTAATTTGTAAATTACATGAAATGTTACCAGTAAAATTACATTTTCATAAATTACAAGTAATTTAACATCACTAATTTTGGCCCATTCCCTCGGGACCACCCTGTATAAAGAACAAATAAAGTCACAGAAGTGTTTATTCGAACTTTTTTTTTTGATGAATTAAAGTTATTTACAGAATGAACTAAATTTATCGCCAAAATGACAATACATACGCATATTTTGAAATTTTTATCTTCTTTTCGGATATCAAGAACTAACATTTCACGGTGCTTTTTAAATAATATCTCCAAACATGTATATTAAAATATTAAATATGAAAAAAGTTCTGCAACTAAAAGTTCTTTATCGCTAATTAAAAAAGCGGTATGTTTCTGGAAAAAAAATACGAAAATATAACAGAATTTAATTATTTTCAGGAAAAAATTCCTATATATCGGTATTATCGGTCACGCCGTACATGCACCGTGAAAATAGCCCGTCCCTATCCTGTCATTCCAAAACCGCCTATTCTAACCACCAAACTTACTCATTCGCACTTATTTCCTTCGGAAGCATGCCAAGACGGAACGAAAAAACGCGCCCGCACCGCGTACATCTGGACCAAAGTTATTTTGCGGAGGTGGGTCACGGCAACGTCCAAGGGGAAGTTCGCAGATGCAATCCTGACCTGTGCCAACTTGCATCCGAATCCGGAGCCCCCACTCCCCCCCTTGTATGAAAGGCCTGCGCGCTCGCTATACCTTCTGCACCCCGTCGTCGATTTCGAAGTTCAATCGATACTCGCCCCTGCCGTTGTTTGGTTTACTGTATCCTGCACGCGTTATTGCACCCTTCGACAAGTACGGGGTGGACAACGCTTGATGGAGAGGGCGTCGATGGATAAACAAAAGGTCTAGAGTAGTCTTTCTCAACTGCTAGTTCGTTAGAAAGTTTTACCGGCCCGCAGACAAATAATAATATATTTTTCAAAAATTTACCGAAATAATTTTTTTTAATTCACGTTATTGTCGTGCTTCGAGTTACATGATATTTTGGATTTCACTAAACTTTCGGATCTGACTTGTGAATGACCGCCGATGACTTTCTCAGGAAGCGCAAAATTTCGCAGTTTCGAATTTTCCCGCGAAAACGCCAGGAATGCCATGAAACGAATGCCAGATGAGACCGAATTGTCTTGCGTAAATTTAAATTAATAGCCAGACTTCACGAGGAGGAAGTCTATACCAATGAATAACTCGAATTCGGAGAGGCCAAATGTCAAGATCCGTACCGAAGAGCGGCTCTCGAGAATTGGCGGAGCCACCACGAAGTGGGATCGAACGTCAACTCTGGGATTTTGCAGTTCTTTAACTAGAGCTGAAATCTCCGGTCAGTGTGTCTACACGATCCGAATTCTAGGGTACTATTTGCCTTTCGATACTTTGAAATCGTCCTTAATTAATATTAAGCAAGAGAGCTATTGAAAATCTAGCCAAGAAACATTTTC